GAGCTCAGGGACCACCCCCTGCGCACCCCCTTATGGTGTCGAGAAATTGCCACGCCTGCTGTGCCTGGACGACCGTCGTGCATAGCGGCCGAGCTCAGGGACCACCCCCTGCGCACCCCCTATGGTGTCGAGAAAGTGCCACGCCTGCTGTGCCTGGGCGACCGTCGTGCATAGCGGTCGAGCTCAGGGACCACCTCTGCGCACCCCCTCTGGTGTCGAAAAAGTTCCACGCCTGCTGTGCCTGGACGACCGTCGTGCATAGCGGCCGCGCTCAAGGACCACCCCCTGCGCACCCCCTATGGTGTCGAGAAAATGCCACGCCTGCTGTGCCTGGACGACCGTCGTGCATAGCGGCCGAGCTCAGGGACCACCCCCTGCGCACCCCCTGTGGTGTCGAGAAAGTGCCACGCCTGCTGTGCCTGGACAACCGTCGTGCATAGCGGCCGAGCTCAGGGACCACCCCCTGCGCACCCCCTGTGGTGTCGAGAAAGTGCCACCCCTGCCACGCTCTGCCGTGCCGTGCCCTGCGCGCCTGCCCTGTGTGCTATGCTGTGCTGAGCTGTGCTGCGATGTGCTGCGCTGTGCCGTGCCGTGCTGTGCTGCGGTGTGCTGTACTGTGCTATGCTGTGCTGTGCTGTGCAGGTGTGCTGTGCAAAACTGCCACGCCTGCTGTGCCGTGGGCGACCCCTATGGCGTCGAGAATGTGCCGCACGTGCCAAGCCGTATGTGTGTGCTGTGCTGTGCTGTGCTGTGCTGTGCTGTGTGCGCTGCGCTGTGATGTGCTGTGCTGTGCTGTGCTGTGCTGCGCTGCGCTGCGCTGCGCTGCGCTGCGCTGTGCTGTGTGCGTGAGGAGGAGGGGGAGTAGGAGGAGGAGGGGAGGAGGGCGGGTGTGGGTGAGACGCGGGTGCGGCAAGGGTGGGAAGAAAACCAAACCCCCCGCAGCATGTGGGGAAAAATCAACGATTTTGGCGTGTCGGGGCTCTCTTGGGAGGCCTCTTAGGATGCCTTCGGGGCCTCCTGGAGCTCTCTTGGAACGTCTTCGGGCCTTCCTGGCCATTCCTGAGGCTATCTATGCGCGTCTTGGAGCGCTCGCGGGCCGTCTTGGGCAGTCTCGAACTGTTCCTGGCGGTCCCAGGGGCCCTCCGGGACGCTTCGGACGCTCCCGGGGGCGCCCTGCACCCCCCATGGAGATTACTGGCAGCGCCCCGGGCCACCCCCGGGCCCTACTCCGATATATATATATATATATATATATATATATATATATATATACATATACATATACATATATATTTACATATACATATACATATACATATACATATACATATGCATATGCATATACATATACAAATACATATACATATACATATGCAAATGCATATACGTATACGTATACGTATACGTATACATAGGCATATACATATACATAAACGTATACATATGCATAGACGTATACACATATATATATATATATATATATGTGTATATATGCATATACATATACATATACATATACATATACATATACATATTACATATTACATATACAAATACAAATACATATATATATATACATATACATAAGCATATACATAAACGTATACATTTACATATACATATACATATACATATACATATACGTATACATATACATATACATACACCTATACATATATATATATATATATATACATATACAAATACGTATGCATATACATATACATGCACACAAATATATATATCTGTATATATATATACATACATATACATATGCATATACATCAACATATACATATACATATACGTATATATATACATATGCGTATACATATACATATACATAAACATATACATTTGCATCTACAAATACATATACATGTACCTATGCATATACATATACATATTCATGTACATACACATATGCATATGCATACACATATACATATACCTATATATATATATATATACATATATATATATATATATACATATACATATACTTATACATATACATAAATGTCTATAGCGTTCTCGCCGTTTCGGCCTTCCGACGCTCCTAAACAATCCAAGAGGCCCCCAAGATGGCCCCAAGACGGCCCATGAGGCCCCCAAGAGGACTTCAAGACTGCCCCAGGGCCCCACGACGGCCCAGGAGACCGCCAAGACAGCCCAAGAGGGCCTCAAAAACGCCCCAGGAGGGGCCCCAAAACGGAGCACGGAGTGCAATGTCGAGCCTTCCGCCCCAAGAGGACCCCCAAGACCGCCAGCAGGCCTGCAGGCCCCCAAGAAGCCCCAGGAAGCACCCAATAGACGCAAAAGAGGCGCCAAAAGGCCCCCAAGAGGTCTCAAAACTGGCTCCAAGAGGCTCCCAAGAGGCGTCCCAAGAGATCCCAGGAGGCATCCAGGAAAACTCTGACTCAAAACCCAGGCGCGGTTGCGGGCTGGGCCGAAGGCCAATGAAGACATACCAGGAGCAGGGAGGGCCTGCACGACCACGCAGCCGCGAGATCGGCCAGAACTAGCCCGAACGGTCCAGCCAGTTCGGGGTGTTCTCGGGTCGGGCGAAAGGGGGGGATAGCAAAGGGGGGGTTGAGAATCAGCTCACGTAGCTGATTTTCCCGGCGCCTCCCAGCGACGGAGGCGGCTATGTATCGAGGAATAGGACCCTCGGCGGGGCCGAAACCAGCTGCATGCAGCAATTTTCGTAACCCCCCCTTTCCCAATCCTCCCCTTTCGCCCGACCCGATGTTCGACCTGATCGCGGGGGGGACAAAGGGCACCGGCACTCCTGCCCCCCCGACCTGCCCTGGGGTGCGTCCTGACCAGGACTGTGGGGCGGATCCGGCCGTGGCGACGAGGGCTGCCCAGGACGAGGAGCGGTGCAGTCGCAGCACTACCAGGAGGAACGCCAGACAAGGAACAAAGGGGCCTTCCTGACCTCGGCGGGCATCGGCCGCGAAAAGGGTTATCCGACCTGGATCCGCCACCGTGCCTGCGGCACGTTGAGGCGTGGAACAGTGCCGCCAAAGTCTGCCTGGCAAGGTCCCCCTGTGGTATTTGAGGGACCCCCCCCATCCTCCCTGTCACACCCAATCGACTGAACCACCCCTACTCCCGGGTGGGCGGCCATGGCGCCTCCCAGGGGCTCTCCAGTGCTTCCATGACGGCCCAGGAGGTACCCAAGACGGTGACGCCCCAAGAGGCCTCCAAGAGGCCTCCCAAAAGGGCCCCGAGATGCAAAAATCATTGATCGTCCTGAGGTTCTTGAAGGACTTTGGCGTTCTCGCCTTTTCGGCTTTCCGACGCTCCAAGACGGCTCAAGAGGCCCCCAAGACCACCCCAAAACAGCCCAAGAGGCCTCCAAAAGGGCCCCAAGACGGCCTAAGAACGCCCCAACCAAGACGGCCTAAGAGACGCCCAAGACGGCCCAAGAGGGCCCCAAGACAGCACCAAAAGGGGCCCAAGATAAGGAACACGAATCGAAAATCCGAGCCTTCCGCCCCAAGAGGCCCCCAGGAGGCCACAAGAGGCGCCCATGAGGCCCCAGGACGCCCCCAAGAGGCCCCAAAGAGGCCCAAAGAAACCCCACGAGGTCCAAAAGAGCCCCCCAGAGGCTCCAAAACGGCCCCCAGGAGGCCTCAAAAGTGCCTCCCAGAGGCCCTAGAGAGGCCCCCCACGAGATCCCAACGAACATCCAATGCACTCGAGCAGGATAGTAAGGATGCGCGGTAAGGATGCAAGGACCTTGGAACGCCACGTTAACGTTTCCCGTGCGGGGCGCAGCAGAATGTTAAAGGATGCCGAATACTGAAGGGGGCAAGGATGCAAGGGTAGCCTTGGAAAGTTGCCCCATCCTTACTATCATGGTTGACTGTAGGCTTCACACGCACAACCCAAGCACGGTCCCGGGACTCGCCGCAGGCAGCCGGACCTCAGGAGCGGTCCAACAATCCGAGCCCCTCCTGAACCAATAGTGGTCCTTCTCTCAACGCCTTGACTGCATCGGCATTTTTTAAGGAGCCCTGGGACACACCAATCAATAGGCACAAACAACAGGATTCCCATCATTTCTAATATTTTCTAGGTTTTCGTCTTCCCCCCCACTTCCCATATCTTCCCATACTTTCTTGGGAGTCGACGATTAATTGTGTCTCTGTGTTTCTTTCCCTCCTGAATTTTGGCGGCGCGCACGAGGGATTCGGAAAAGGGGGGGAGGCTCCTCTTGGAAGGGGGCCGCTGCTCAGAGGGCGCTGGCCCTACATCCGCGGACCGGGCCCGCGCCTTCTAAGAAGCAGAGGCGCTTCTCTGAGAAGCCTTGCCCCCCTCCCATAACCCCTCTCTTCGCGTGTCCGACCTGAGCCCGAAAGTGTCATGTTTTTCCCATCGTACTTACGGACCACCTCCCAGAAATGATTGAGAGCACCCCGAAAAGTAATGAAACAGAGTCTGCTCGACACGCTGGCGAAGTGCCGAGCGAGGATCGCTTCCCAGGGTCCGACAGGTGAACACCGTCCAGTCTCGACGCTTTCACTGGTGCTCGGAATTATTCGTTGTGATATTAAGGCTAAACCAGGCTGGAACATCATAACCATAGTGGTCCTTCTTTCAACGCCTGGACTAGAGGCCTCCTAGATGGGGTCGGAGTAGATGGGGTCGAAGGATCGCGCCGCATCGCCGATGAATCGCCGATGCATCGGCGATGCATGGGCGATGCACTGGCGAAGGCGGCGATGCATTGGGGCCATCGGCGTGGCGAAAGCAGGGCTCCGCATCGAGCCGCATCGCCATTGCCTCGGCGATGCGGCGCGACCCTCCGATCCCGTCTGCTCGGACCCCGTCTGAAAGGCCTGGATTGACTCCTCCTCCTCCTCCTCCTCCTCCTCCTCCTCCTCCTCCTCCTCCTCCTCCTCCTCCCCCTCCTCCTCCTCCTCCTCCTCTTCCTCCTCCTCCCCCTCCGATCCCCTGAGCTGCCGCGCGCCCCTCGCGGCCTGCCCAGCCTAGTGGCCCGCGCCTTGCACGGCCTGCCGGGCCTGGTCGGCAGCGCCCTGCACGGCCTGCCCCGCGTGTGCGGCCGCGCCCTGCACGGCCTGCCCGGCCTGTGCCGCCGCGCCCTGCGCGCCCTTCACGGCCTGCCCGGCGTGCCCCGCCGCGGCCTCGGTCTTGTGGAACATCCTGAGACGCAGCCAGGAAGGCACCAACTATACACCAACACCGATCCTGGCCAGGATCACCCTGGGCCCAGGATCGGTGTATCCGCCCTCCTGCCTTGCGCAAGAAGGCATATACACCGATCCTGGGCCCAGGGTGATCCTGGGCCAGGATCGGTGTTGGTGTATAGTTGGTGCCCTCCGAGCAGCCAGGACGAGGAGAAGTCGGGAACCTCTGAGAATCTCTGAGGTCCTGACAGCGACTCTGGAGGACGCCTCGGGCGCCGCGGCCGTCCCAGAGCGTTCTGGAGCGCTCTGAGAGCGTTCCGGAACGCTCTGGAATGGACTTTTATCCTCGTCCTGGCCCCGTCCGACGCGAGCGGGGAGGGTCGGGTGCAGTCAGCGCCGAATCGGGAAACTGGATCGGATCAGGACGTCTATCGATTCGGACCGCATCGGCTCCGAATATGAATCCAATCGGATCGGCGCCCAAGATGCATAACGGCGCCATGCAAGCAACGGGCCGCATCGGAATCGAATCGAATGGACCAGGCCGAAGTCGCATCGGAATCAAATCGAGTCGCATGGGAAGCAGACCGAGGATCAGCCAAAAAAAAATCGGAACCGACTCGAACCTGGCTGGCCAGGGCCGACATCGGATCGCATCGTCGGGGACGTCCTAGAGGGGGGCGTCCAAGGAGGGGGGGGCGCAAATCATGGCAGGGGCGGCATGTGCGCGGCCCAGGTGGGGACCGGGGAGGTATTGAAATGAGGAGATGCGCCATGAAATCTGGGAAGATCTCATGGCCCTCGCCATGATATCCGCCCCCCCTAGTCATCACCCCCGTCTTGGCCGCCCCCGACATCGGTGGGATCGGCATGGCCCCTGGGAGGGTCGGGTGCTGCTGGAGGCGACCAACCAGTCGGCCGCGCACGGAAGCGGCCCCTGGGGCAAGAGGGGACCGTAGTGCTGCGCGGCCTGCCGTCCGCACCCCACCTTCTTCTTCTTCTTCTTCTCCTCCTCCTCCTCCTCCTCCTCCTCCTCCTCCTCCTCCTCCTCCTGCTCCTCCTGCTCATCCTGCTCCTCCTGCTCCTCCTGTTCCTCCCGTTCCTGCTGCTGCTCCTCCTCCTCCTCCTCCTCCTCCTCCTCCTCCTCCTGCTCCTGCTCCTCCTCACGCTTCCCCCAAGGAAGGAGGAGGGGCGTTACGTCCGCGAGGACGCCCGCCACCGAGATTAAGGCCGATCCCAAACACTTCGGTCACGTCCCACTTCGGACGGAATGCAACCACTGGACTGGGACTGACCCCAGCGTGCAGGATGCCGATATTGCGATCCGCCCCTGTATCCCCACCCGCGCCGCGCGGGAGCCGCGCACGACGTGAAGCCGACCCTGGCGCAGGGTGGCCCGCGCTCCTCCGGAGAGGCACAGGCGGCCTCCGGAGCAGCCCTCGCGTGGCCCAAGGGGCCCGAGGGGCTCCAAAGTGGCGCGGGAAGCTGCGGGTGCCTTGGCCTCTTGCAAACCCTGGGAAGGTGGGCCCGCATGAGAGATGGGCCCGGGATGCCCTGGATGAACGGCGAGAGGGAGCGTGGGGGTCGGAAATAGCGGGAGCACTGCGGAACGGAGAGGGGCGATAGAGAAGGGCAGGCCTACCCTGTGCTGGCGGAGGGAGGGCTCAACATTCAAGTGCCTCGTCCGTCCTCCCTTCCCCCTACCCCCCCCCGGGCGACGGGAGTCCTGCCGAGCGCGTCTCCCAAATTGCACTCGCAGTGCCGGGTGCTGTGTACGCAGTCCTTGTCCCCTTTGGATGCCTCGCCGCAGGCCGAATGTCGGAGGCGAGGAAGTGCCGCTACCGCTCCTCTTCCTCTTCCTCGTCTCTCCCGTTCGCCATCCTCGCCCCTCCCTCGTTCCTCGTTCTTCGTTCCAGGTTCCTCGTTCGCCGTTCCTCGTTACTCGTTCGCCATTCCTCGTTCCTCGTTCTCCGTTCCTCGTTCCCAAATCCTCGTTCCTCGTTCCTCGTTCCTGTTCCTCGTTCCTCGTTCCTCGTCCCTCGTTCCGCGTTCCGCGTTCCGCGTTCCTCCTCCCCCTCCTCCTCCTCCTCCTCCTCCTCCTCCTCCTCCTCCTCCTCCTCCTCCTCCTCCTCCTCTTTCCCCTCCTCCTCCTCCTCCTCCTCCTCCTCCTCCTCCTCCTCCTCCTCCCCCTCCACCTCCTCCTCCTCCTCCTCTCCTCCTCCTCCTCCTCCTCCTGCCTGGGCACTGGGGCATTGACGGCATGAAAATCCTCCGAGGAAGCTGCCACCTCCCTCTCCTCTTCCTCGCCCGCCTCCTCCGCGCCTCTCCTCCTCCCTCCTCCTCCTCCTTTGATCCTCCGTCCTCCTGCTCCCCTCCTCCGCCTCCTCCTTCCGCCTTCATCCGCCTCCCCTCCTCCTCCTTCCTCCCCTCCTCCTCCTCGCTCCTCCTCCTCCTCCCTCCTCCTCCTCCTCATCATCATCATCATCATCATCATCATCATCATCTCAATACATCATCATCACCATCACCATCATCATCACCATCATCAGCATCACCATCATCATCATCAGCATCATCATCATCATCCTCATCATCATCAATCATCATCAATCATCATCATCATCATCATCATCATCATCATCATCATCATCATCATCATCATCATCATCATCATCATCATCATCCTCATCATCATAATCATCCACCTCATCATCG